TTTTGCTAAGTTGATGTGGACAAGAAGGGACTCTCATGCTTTGATATTGGAGGAAGGAGAGAAATAGGGAGGAAAAGAGAGGGAAGGAAATAAAGCAAAGCCACGGCAGGTAGTGGGTGAGGAACAAAATGATTAATATCAGTGCATTAAAAATACAGCATGCAGCAAAGACAAGGCTCTGGGGTGCAGAAGGACGTTACGAGCAGACGGCAGCCAAGGAGTCTCGGGAAGGGGCAGCCCCAGCAAACCAGGCAAGTGAGGGAGATGGGTCAGAGGAGCAGGGGTGTTTCCAAAGACTGACCCACCTCATCTGGGTGTGAAACATGGATTTCACTGCCTCATGACTGAAAAACAAAACAGACACCCGAATGGAAATCATTACCATTGGCTCATCCTGTTGGGCTGGCAGGATGCACAGCAGTCAGGTTATGCAGCCAAAGCTTTGGCCATCACAACCACCTCTATCCCAGCCCCTTCCGGGGGGGCCCTTTGACAAGACGCAGCCTGGTATAGTGGAAAGTGCACTGGATTTGGAGTGAGAAGCTCTGGGTTCAAAGGTACTCAGCCCTGGGCAAATTACTTCCCTTCCCTTGAGCCTCAACGTTCTCATCTGTAACCTGGTAATAAGGCTGTCATGAGAAAATGCATTTAAAAGTAGAGTGCTAGATTTGCAAATGTTACCCACTATATAAAAACATAGATTTAAAAAAAAAAGTTTATTCTGTATAGCACAGGGAACTATATTCAATATCTTGTACTAACCTTTAATGAAAAAGAATATGACAATGAACATATGTATGCATATGCATGGCTGGGACGTTGTGCTATACACCAGAAATTAACACACTGTAACTGACTGTATGTCAAAAATAAATAAATAAATAAATAATAAAAATTTAAAATATAAAAATAAAAGTAGAGTGCTAAAAAAACACATGGGACGCTATTATTATCTCACTAACAAGCATCGTGGACAAATTAGTGTGGCCTCTTATATGATGTCCGTATTGGGAAGCGTTTGAACTACATCTGGAGGCTGGTCACACAGGTAGTATGCAAAAATTGCTGGCGTTAGATAGAATTGGGCTCCTAAAAATAAAAAAACAGAATTGGGCTCCTACCATCACATGCAGTGTTTTTTCCACTACGGCAGGCAGCTAGACAGTGACTGCAAAGTCACTTTCTCTTGCGCGACAGTTAAGAAGCCCAGGTAAAATGTGGCTGCTTGAAATTAGGATGCAAAGCCAGAGCGGACACTGGCGATGATATGAAGAAAGGGCTCCCAGGTTCCTGGGACTGGTACACGTAGTGACAGGAAGCCGTCTGGGTCACCTCTGCTTAGGGGAGGGGTCTCCAGAAAGACCCATCCCACATGTGGCTGAATTTGATCCTCTTTGTCAGCCAGGGTAACCGCAGGCACCAGCCCCTCTGGGGAGGATTCCCTGAGGTCCAGGCCAGTGACCCCAAGAGGCTTAGGAAGGGGAACACAGTGCTGGGGAAAGATAATCATCCAGGTGCAAAACAGACTTCCCTGCCTTGAGTGACTTTCTCAAGTGCTTTCTCAAGCATGTCATGCACATCCTTGCTTCCGGAAATGGGAAGGAAAAGGGAAACCAGAGTCCTCGCTCTCCTGGGGCTTAGGCTGGAGTCCTGGATGAGAACCAGAGACCATTGTGTGGCTTCCGGGAAGTTTGCAGGGAAACCTGCTCATTGCTGATGGCTTGGAGTCGACGTGCATCTGTCATAAGAGCTTGTCTCTAAGAGCAAATGAAATATTGCTTGGGCCTCAAAGACCCCCAGCCTGAGCCATGGACAACCAGGAGCTCATCCTGTTTGCTGATTTGTCCCCATTTGTGCCCCATCCCAAATTCCATCCTCTGCCATCCTGGCCCCTGATCTGTGCTTCCAGGGGGCAGGGGCTGAACCTCTGAGGGCTTCATCACCCAGGTTCCTTTGTCCTCTGGCTTCTGGTTGGGGTTTGGCCAATGGGAGGAGATTAGAAGGAGGGAGGAGAGAGGGGTTGGGGTGGGCTGTCTTCTGCGGCTCCCTCTCTGCCTTGTCACGGTTCCAGCAGTGGCACAGCCAAGCCACTGGGTCAGGGGAGAAAGGGCCTCTCCCATGGCTGCATCCCTCACCACCAGCAGGAAGAGTACTTCCTCCATTGTCCCTCCAGGTCCAGAGGTGGTAACGGCTCCACGCTGTTGCTAGACCCTGGACACCTCACCATTTTTTGTCAGTTTCTTAACCTCTACTCACACTTCTTTCAATTGTCCTTTTATTAAATTCTCTTAGGGTAAACCCTGAGTGTGCCCTCTGGTTTCTGCTGGGAGCTTGGCCAACGCACGCTCCTGCCAAGCGCCTTCTCAGCTGATGATATTCCACAGTGACCTCTAGAGAGAAAAATCTCAGGCGTCCAGTTCTAAAATAGTGGTTAGAGGTTTCTCTAGCATACCTAGGCAACTTCAAGAAACATACCAAGACTCAGAAATTGCTCATGTGGAATTCTGCGTCGTGTTCCTCATTGCATTTATCTCATCCATAGTTATACTAGAATGAAATTGCTATTCTCTCCCTGTTTGAAGCCCAGGCCACTTCAGGTTCAACAGTTTCTCTCTGGTTTAAGCCGAGTGTAGAGAACACCGTGAGGTCTCCCCACCCCCATCACACCCACCCAGGTTAAAGACACACTCACTTGCCGTTGTTGAATATGACGGTACAGTTGGGCCAGCAGTCGTGGTTCACCAGGCCCAGGTTGGGGAAGATGCCCACGCCCACTGCCTGCAGGCCTCTCTGATCACTGAGCGTGAAGCCGTTGCAGTTAATCTGCCCGGAGGAAAAGGAAAGAGTCAGCTAACAGACACAGACGGGGCCCAGCGCACCAGCCCGCTGTCGAAAGCTTTTAGACAAATAGAAAATCCAGCC